GTGATATGAAAGGAAGATAGTCAAAGGCTTGTAAAAACGAAGTTTTTTTAACTTCGAATGGTTACAAGGAACCTTTGAGATTCCAATAGACTACCGAGGCTACAAGGTCGACCATGCAAGCCTTTTGGAGAACTAAGTGAGCAAAGCAAAAGAAAGAAATCGGAAGAAGTTCGTGTCAACCATGGTACAATTATTACAGGTATTGTCTTCCCACAAATCGCATATTCCGATCTGCCTTATGCATTGTTGCCCACACTAAAAAGTTTACTGTAAGGGAAAACGGATATTTCCATACACCATAAACCCTATATCGACTGCTGAGTGGACGATCGACCTATCTCGGCAGCCAGTTCGAAACGGCTGCCGAGATAGGTCGATCTTCCACTCAGCAGTCGATATAGGGTTTATAGTGTATGGAAATATCGAGGCTGTCACCAGATCGAAAAACGAGAAAACAAATCGATCACGTTGTGATTGACGGAAGGCATGCTTCCAGTGTTTTGGACGTACGTACATTTCTACGAACAAACACAGACTCGGATCACTTTCTTGTTGTAGACAAGATACGCGCCCAAAAATGCAAGGAAAGCTTATAGGGAGCTGAAGAGGGCAACGAGACGTATTTGCCGAACTCATTTAAGAACAAAAATGCCGACCTAGTGACTGATGTCCAGAACGTACCTAATATTACGTTCTCATTGAGCCATTAACTCGAGTTTAACGTTTTGAGTTTATGAACAACTGTCAAGCGTTCACATTGGGGTGTTTAAGAAACTCAGAGTTTAATTTGACATTTTTTTGTTTACTTTTTCTTATTCTCATTTAGTCTGTTCCCGTACTACAGGAGTTAACACACACACACATAAGTCTAGAATACCAACCATTTAGCTATAAAAAAAAACAAGAAATAAGGATCGATAGAACTTTTTACGCTAATTTCAACCATACCAAAATTATTTGGTGCAAATAAAAACCAAAGCCAATAAAAGAGGTTAAAGTTCAACTTAACTATTTCTTATGTGTTTAATATCTCAGAAACTAGTCAACCGATTAAAAAATTATTGATGCTAGTTTCAACATAATTTAAATGCCTTTTATGCAAGGTATATACTATAACCAGTTTTAGAACTAATTTTATATAAACTACATTTAAAAACATATATTTTTATTTTATTTTGTTTTTTAGTATTTCTGGACTAAAAATATAAAAAGGCATATAAATTATATACACACATGAAAGAAAAATCAATTATCTTTATTTTGACGTCATTAGTTTTTTAATAGGTTATGTTGTTCAGAAGATATTAATATAAAAAAATCAGAAAATTTAACTTTAACCATTGATATCTTTTTTATATTTTAATTTCGCCAGGTAATTTTGGTAGGGTTGAAATCAGCACAAAAAGGTCTGTCGAGCCACATTTTTGGTTTTTGCATTGCTAGATTGTTGATATTCTAGACTTACGTGCACAGAACGACTTCGGACTAATTCTGATTAAATCCTGCAGTACGGGGGAACAGACTAACTGTCGGCAAGTTGGTTGCAAGTTTGGATTATCAAAGACATAAACCGAATCGGGTCAAAAAAAAGGGTTGCATTCGCATAAACTCCACATAAAAGTGGTGTTTAAGGAGAGTTTAACGAAATTTTTTGTATGGTAAACTCCGAGTTTAATGTGAATGTGAAGACTTTTCCATCCTACTGAATGGCAGCAGTACTGAAAGCTGTGGAGAAGACGAACCCGAACCTCTATGATGACGGAGTCGATGTTCCACCACCAGACTATGACGAGGTACGAATAGCAATAGCGCGCTTGAAAAACAGCAAAGCTGCTGGAGCTGACAGCCTGCCAGCTAGGTGATAAGGTGCATGCATAAACTCTTATGCAGAATATGATCAGATGAACGCATGCCTGACGACTGGACCTTAGGTGTGCTCGGGCGCGGGATCAGCCTTCTAAGCATAAGTTACAAGGCCTTATCGAGCATCAACGAACTGATTGCACCTTATCAGTGTGGCTTTAGACGTAGCAAATCCACTATAGACCAGGAACTTATATCATAGAAGTAACAGGTGCGACAATTGTCGATTTTACCGGAAAATTTCAGAGCTAGAATTGCCGGCGACATTTTACCTGTTTCACAGATGCCTTTAGGCAACTGTCTGACAATGGTGCTGAAAACTGTCACTGTGACAAAATTGTCGCGACAATAGCGACAAAACTAAATAGCTCTATAGAAAGTGTTCACAGGAGAATTTTGTATATTTTTTTTACATATATGTTAATTTCGCGCATTACAATAAATTGAATATTTGTAAAAACGAAAATAATGCATTTGCATTACTAATTTCATATGTATGACTGGCGACAATTTTCTCAACAATTTTAAAACCCTAAAACGACAATTTTGTCCTCCATAATGGAATTATTCACGAAATTGAAAGGATGATGACAAATGTTTTTAGGAAACAAACCACCCACCGAGCTGTCGAATTGTCACAGACAATACGGAAATAGCCTGTCGTGACAAAATTGTCACTGCCGCTTTATGAAATAGGCCCCAGGTATTCACAATACGCCAAATCTTGGAAACGAGCCGCGAGAAAAGGATCGACACTCACCACCTATTTGTCGACTTCAAAGCAGCATTCGACAGCACTAAAGGGAGTAGCATATACGCCGCGATGTCTGAATTTGGCATCCCTTCGAAACTGATACGGCTAGCTAAAATGACGTTGATCAATACCATCAGCTGCGTCAGAATTGGGAAATACCGCTCCGAGCCATTTGCTACGCAACGGGGTTTCAAGTGATTTCTTTAATCTGATGTTGGAGAAGATAATAAGAGCTGCAGAACTGAACGACTCAGGAAAAATTTATTACAAGAGCGTGCAATTGCTAGCGTACGCCGATGACATTGACATCATCGGAGTAAAGTCCTCTCGCTACCAGGGCCGACAGACGTTTAGTCTAAAATCCGTACACGGACAAAAAATGGTGGGTGAAAAATCCGTACAAAATCCGTACGCTCAAATTTGTTTGGCGACCAAAAAAAAAAATGTTTGTACTTAGGTGAACACAAATAAACATCAAATAAAGCAACACATATTTCCACTAGTCCTGATTGATTGCTTCACAGACAACCTTTTTATTTTTCTGACTAGAACTTTTTAACAAGCAGTGTGTTCTTAGTTTATTTACATGTACCAAAACTTTTCAAGTAGGTTGTCGACCCTACCCAGTAACAGTATAATGTTTGAAGCTATGGTTAAAGATCAAACAATTAAGAAAATTAGGGTTTTTTAATTTTACGCCACAAAAACTCTCAACAATCAAAGTCTACCAATAGATTGTCGGGTACAAAATAGTCAAGCTGTTAATAGATATAGGTATCGTAAATGAAAAAGCATTTTTGCACATTCGATAGTTCGATATGGTAGCGACGATATGTGTGTATGGACAGTGGTTGAATTAAGACTGGGACTATCCGTATATTCGGAAACCCGCTCGGATGTATAGGGATACAATCCTGATATCTGGTTAATATCCATTCCTATTTGTTATCCGGATATCCGGTTAATATCTGTTCATTTGGCTATCCGGATATCCAGATATTCTAAAACTTGTTTGACCGGATTCGTAAAATTGTTCTCAAAATACCGAAATCTATAGAGTTGCGAAATAAATAGCACAGGACAATATAACGAAAGGGAAAAAATTTGGTACAGCAAATGTTAAAACTGGTTTTGATAAGACCTTTTTGCGCTGATTACGAATACGTAAGTATAAAGTTTCCATCAGCTCCATATTTTAAGAAAAAACGAGTTCAAAGTGTTAAATATCCACTTAAGCCTAAACTAAAGCTAGAACTCTTAACTACTATTCCCGAAAATACCATCGCTGCGCTTTGGCTTGATGGTCACTTATAGTCATTTATTTAACAGCAAAAACTGATTTTGGCGAAGTTCCACTTAGGCTTAAATTGAGGCTTGAACTTCCGACTGCGATCTCTAAATACCATCCCTACACCTTGACCCTAAGGTCACTTATAGTCATTTATTGAACAACAAAAACTGATTTCGGCCAATTTTTTTTCTTCATAGTACAATTTTCCAGTATTTTTTTATTGTTCATGCCTATAAGTGACCATTAGGTCAAGGGATGGTATTTTCAGGGATAGTAGCCGAGAGTTCTAGCTTTACGTTAAGTTTAAGTGGAAGGTTCTTTCACCTTTTTTTTCTCAAATTGTTTAGGCGCGACTGCTAACACAAGGCGCCTAAATGCTGCATGTGCAAAAATTTCCTTCATTAAATTAATGAAATTTATGTACATGCACTTCTCAACTGCCATGTAATAAAACTTTCTTAAGTTATAATTTGATGGCAGTTCAAAGTATGCTCTGCCTAGTCGGATGCATCCTCCGGACACTGCTTCCGGAGCATTCTGCGGACTCTGCATGGCTTACAACCATGCGGAGGTGGTAATAGTTGATTACCATTGGCCACAGTGCCTACCCACTACTTTTTGGTCCAATAAATATTTTTTTTATATACAACATGCAAACATACTGGTCGCCCCTCTCACTGAGTTATTCACAAATATTGCCAAAAATTAAATTTTTTGACACTTTGACCATGTTTTTCTCAAAATCTGGACCTGATGAAAACTTTATAGTGACGGATTCGTAATAGAACACTTCAGTAATACATAAACAATTGGTATTTTAATTTTGTGACCCGGATATTAACCGGATATACGGATTTTTTAATCACATATTCAGACATTAAAAAATCGGACAGAACTCACAGCACATACATGCAGCGCTACATGCATATAACACCAGGGGGGCGAACAATGAAAATAAAATTAAAACAAATTTTACTAAAACCAGTAGTTTAATGAATGAAATAAACAAATGATATGGAACGAAATAGTGAATAGTTACATTTGTAAGAAAAAACGTTTTGTAAGGCACACTTTTTAAGAATTTGCTGTTACCTGACGGGAGTGTTATCTTTAATTTGTTGAACTAGGTCGCCAATAACCTCATGTTGAATGTAATACAGCATACGTACGCGCAGAAGTACTCTGAAACACAGTCAATGCAGTGAAATAAGATAAATAATCAATTAACAAAAAACAACGAAATTACAAGACCGAAAAATAATTAAATGCAGATAAGTTCGCAGTAATGACATTTACAAAAGGAGAGAAAAGAAAGAGTAAGACAGAAAAGCATTAGTGAATAAATTCCATATATATTGGACATAAAAGCTTTCGATTCCACACGACTCACTTATTCGCGTGTCTGCTCAAATGCTTTTTGTAAGCACATTCCAAAAACGTATCCGCATCAAATTTTTCTTGCTTGCTCCAGTGATTGGGATCATTAAGAGCATTTTGACTGGCACTAGCGTTCGGATTTGATGTCGATATCGGTGTGGATGCATTTGTCGACGTTGTACTGGCATCCGTCGGTGATGCTACAGCCGATGTGGTAGCGCTTATATTTCCTCCAACGTCCCTATCAACATCCGCTTTAGCTGTTATTGCAGCCGCATTTGCCATTTCTTTTTGAGCTTTGCCACCATTCCGACCTGCAACGAGAAGCAATGGTATATTGATCAGTGATTTAGGATGTAAAACACAGAAAAAAAAGTGTAAAAGGATACATTTTCAGCTGATACTTTACATTACGGTAATTACATTTTCGGATCACGGTTGCCACACAACAAAAAATTTTCTGACCAGAATTTACAAAAAAAGTTACCTAAAAGTTACCAAGTAAAAAACAATTTTGTATTATACAATAAACTGTAAAAACAAACCTCGTTTATTTGCCATAAATAAGACAAGGATACAATAAATAGTTTTATTAAAAGAAAACTAAACAAATTAATTTTACATATGAGGGTAGAGGAGCCTTTCTACAAAAACATTTTTAATAATATGAGAAAGAAGGGATCTATAAAAAATAAATGCAGTATTTTACTAAAAGATTCATTGCACCTACGTGATTCTACATATTATAGTAAAAGAAAACTAAAAGGGCGTGCCCCGAGCTATTACCGTTTCGATTCTGGTAATGCATTTTAAGGTGCATCTCAACTTTTTTTGGAATGTCAGTTAAGCTACTCTGGCGCTCAAGGCCTCATATAACAGATACATTTACATACGTATATAAATACATTTTTATTCAATCTCTGTATACGCACGTAACAAAAATTTGTGAAACAAAAAACAGCACACAAATATTTTTGCAACGCATGCGTTTAAAAATGTGTATACTTTTCATAAAAACGCGCCTTAATCTTTTGACTTTTGAACGGGATCTTAGCCTCAGAACAAAAAAAAATATATTTACAAAAAAATCTACTTAAGTGCATATACCGAAGCCCAAATACACCGCACAAACTGCTGTTCAAATCTTCTTTTTCATTTCCTCTACATATGGATCAAAGATCTGTCAATAAATATTGAACGTGTGGCATATTTCGTGATATCATTTCACGGCTCGGCATTTCGCGTTGCATTTCGAACAAATTAGATGTGATATCACCATACATATAATATAAAGTATAGATGATTTTCAATAAAATAACATTAAGATAAGATTTCCAGGCTTCATCTATTGGACTTTAAACTTCTGAACACAAAAACATGTAAATACTGACGCGATAAATAATATTGACCATGTAGCATTCCCGCGCGATCCATCACCATGTGAAATCTATCAATATCAACACTTTAATTAATTAACGAGTAGACTGCCCAGCGATAATTTGTTTCGATATGTGGTTAGTTTTTTTTTGGCTGAGCGCTGCGTTGCCTGATCAATGCAATTGTTTATAGTAGTGTTGTCACCGCTACACACAACCACAGTACAATTTATCAAATTAATCCAACTTTTTGGTCTGACTTTATACACGGCAAACTTACCAAAAGTTACCAAAATAAAAGGAAAGTTGCCAAGTTACCAAGCACTCGAAAAGTTACCTAGCACTCGAAAAGCTACCTATTTTGGTCACAAGTGACCAAATGTGGCAACCGTGTTTCGGATACATTTCTTATACTTTTTCCGTCATTTTTCTGATATTTTTCTTAATTTTTCGATTCACAACACAACAGACAAATGAGCCGTTCCTTACACAAATTGGTTAACTCCATCTTTTGAAAAATTAAGTTTAAGGGTAATTTTTTTCGGTTTCAGTTTAAACTTGGATCCCTTAGATCAAACGAGCTAGCCCGAGCGTTTGAAGCAGTAATGGCATTTCATATCACGCCAGGGAAGCCAACTCGTGGGGAATTCCCCGATTTGCGGGGAATTTCTGTTTGCGTGGGGAATCGGGGAATGGACCGTTTTTTGTGGGGAATTTCAGTTTCCATGGGGAAGCAGAGGATGAACTGTTTTTGGTGAGGAATTAGGTGAAAATTTTTTTTTCGCTTCGCAAATTTCATACTAATTAAAAAAAAAGTAAGTGGAAATGTTTTTTTATTTTCAGGCAAATACCAAAAAAGAGCAAGCTTCTGAATAGGTACACGGCTGACGGGTTATACAAAAAGCCTTTCTGAAAGGCATTCTTTTCTCCCTTCTTTTTTATATGGAGTGGTATAAATTAAGCGGCTCGTGCTTTCGTTACCCAAGGAAGAGTTTTCAGAAGGGCTTTTGTAGGACGTACTTCAGAAGGCCTTTTGGAGGTGTTCTTTTAACTCATAAATATCATCCGTCTTTAAGGAATTTATTTATTTAAGGTTCATATGTATATATATGTATATGTACATTCGCGTAAATTGTAAATACGGAAACAGGGAAGCTCTTTTTTCAGCCCTTATTGCGTAAGTCTTTTAGAATGGCTTAACTTAAGATATCCTACCTAAATTATCTTCTGGTTATGCATATAACAAATGGAAAAAGTGATCAAAAAACGCTTTGTAGGATAGGTAGGGTGACCAGATTGCTGTGGACAAAAATTGGGACATTTTCAAAGCATCGAATCCGAACATATAATTTAGTTTGTAGAATAAAAGCTTTATTTAAACAAGAGAAAGAGAAACAACTTGAATAATTATTTCATATCCATGAATTTTTTGGGGGAGTTGGTATTATTTTATATAATTTCACTAAGGTAAAGTTAAGTTAGTGTGGTTAAAAAAAAAATCTTAACAAATAATAATAAAAACCTTAAATACGAACTGGCATAAAATTTAATCAGAGACAAAACTGCATACCCAAAATTTTTTAAAATTTCTAAATAAAAAGTTTAAAATTTTTGGGTACAAATGTTAAAGTTTGTTGAATTTTCATAATTTTTGTGCGAAGTTTGAAATGAAATGTGAAAGTACATACCATCCATTGACAGCGTCACCGCCACAGTCAACATCACCGTCAACGTTGCTTATGCGTCAAGTTACACACTACACTATTCGTTTAACATTGCGCCCGAAAAATCATTGACTCGCTGATACTCTTTGCAAAATTTGCATTTTACTTTTTCATTTCTCTATTAGGTTTTCCTACATTATTTTTTACATTTCGTGTTTCCATAAATATTAAACTTTTCACAAACTGGAAAAATTTACGTTCAAACATGTAAACAGAACAATGAATAGTTGTCATTTGACGCAATCGAATAAGCAAAATTGAGAGTTGAGCTAATTTGTGCGGCACCGTTACCGTCAGCTTGTTCATGTAACTTACTTCATACAAATACATATATGAGAGGGAATTTCACGAAATTTCGGGAAAAATCGGAAAATTTCATTGTCGAAATCGGGGAATTCTCAAAAATGAATTGGCTACCCTGGGTTAGAGTTTCATCAGTTGGCAAATCACGTGTATATTACGTACAATATGGGTCCTAAAACACTGTGGTTGCTCACACTTGCCTGGTTATCAGGTTATCTGGTTAAAAATAATTTTTCTGTAGTATATTTTATTGTTGTACGACAACAAAGTGCACTGCAAAAAAAATATTTTTAACCAGATAAGCTGATAACCAGGCAAGCGTGAACAACCACACTGCCTTGAGGGGCACCTGCATATATACGGTGACTTTCCGTTCTAAAGGAATTCTGCCTGACTCTGAATTTTCTCTGTATTTGCAGGGAGTGCAACCTTTAGTTTGTATACAAAGCCATCATGCTAGACTTTGTCAAAAGCTTGAGAGATGTCCAAAAATACACTGGTGCAGTAATGCTTCCCTTCGAAGGCTTTTCTAATACAGGACACAATTCTATGAACTTGTTCTACAGTGCCATGTTTTTCACGAAAACCAAACTGATGTGGTGGTATTATTTTATTTGTTTTAACAAAGTCAAGGTTGTATTTTTTTCAATAGAAGTTTTTCAAATATTTTGGAAAATACAGAAATCAAGCTAATGGGCCGATATGAATTTACTACCGTCGGATCTTTGCCTGGCTTTGGCACTATAATTATTTCCGAAAGTTTCCATAAGTTGGGGAATTGCCGCAACTTCAGCATGTTAATAAAAATATGAAACAAAAAACGCACGGCACTTAGTGGAAGTTCCTTTATCATTTCACCTGTAATCCTATCGTAACCAGGCGCTTTATTCTTCTGAACGTCGTGAACAATGGTGTTAATTAAATCTTTATTTTTAAACCAAATCGGATTTGTGGTACGGCTACTGGGGGATATTGAAATATTGGAAGGATGAGCGCATTCATTGGGTCTAAAGACTTGTAAAAGATGACAGGCGAAAGCGTTTGCTTTATCCTCATCATTCCACCCCCAGCTTCCGTTCTGAGTACGTAATGGTGGTTCTCGAAGAACGGGCCTCTTCGCATGCTTCAATGATCGCCAAAGCGAGTAGTCAGTCTGTTACGAAGCAGACAAGGACTGAAGGATCGACTGCGTACTTCTTTCTTTTTCCGCCTGCAACAAAATACGTAATTCCTTTGTACACGCATTCAGCTCCTTTTTAAGCTTAGGAGAGCGAATTCTTTGCCATTCCATTCTTAATTTGCGCTTTTTACTTATTAAGTTAAGAATGTTAGGGGTGTGCAGGCCCAGGCGGTAAGAATTGCGACGTTTAATAGAGGGATTTGGTGTTGCAATTCTGCGGCCTTATCTATTATATAAGTGAGACTTTCAGCTGCCCTATCGATATCATTCTTGGTCCGAATAAGAATTTGGGGGTCGACGTGCGAACTGACATATTTTTTGGGGATCAGATGGCCAATACGTTGGCTGACCAGTAGACAAGACGTCAAATCCTCTCTTCTGCATTACTTTATACAGATTTCTACACTTTGGTGTAATAAATGTAGACCCCAGTATGTATGTATGTTTGGCATTGTAATCTCCTGCTACAATAAACTTACTGCCAAAAACTTTTTGTTTTTCTGTTGTGTTATGACGAGGGAGCAGTATATAGCAGATACAGTAAGGCTACCCAAGTGGTCATCAATATATATTGCAGTATTATTAATGAACTCATCACTTTGCGATCCTATTTCATAGTACTTTATTATGTTTCCAATGAGAATGGCTAGGGACAAAACGATACTAGTAAATACAAGAACATACTCGATGCTTTTCGTCCGATACCAAGTAATTTTGGTATCGATACTTTTGAACCAAGTACTGAGTAGGTATCGGAAGAAAGTACTTGTATCGAAACCCGATTCAGTGACAGTTTTATTAGCGGATTTTTATTTTTTAATCTAATTTTTTATTATTGTGAATAGTTAAAAATGTTTGGCAGTTTAG